ACTGCCTTTTAGGCATATTTACAAGGCAGCTGACAAAAAATTACAGCAAGTTATACTGTTTACGTAGATGTGAGGATCGCTAGGCTAGGCAACCAGTAAATGGACATGACCAACATCTCTCCAGGCCTGAAAAACATAAAGCTAATCCTCAATGTCTATCTTCACCGAGATTTCACATAATCCTATCTCAAACATTTCACAGCGTGCTATGTAACCGTAACTATCTCCTTCTTGCCCTACGATGTAGAATGCAACAATTCGTGTCTGAACTTGGCAGTCGACCGAATCGTCTTACAGTGTTACAATGATCACTTGAATCTGTTTTAAATACGAAACAGTCTGCAGAAAAAAACAAAACGACAATGGTGTACATTATTAGGTACACCAGTGTTTTGCAAAGTAAAATCAATTTTGTAGCAGGCAGGGTACATGTATCTGTAAAATGTTATTGAATAAATCTACTTCACTTTATTTATATACCATGTTCTACCCACAAAGAAAAGAACTGGGGTGATTAAAGAAATGAATTGCTAACTTTATCTTAACCCACTTAACATGCACGATATTAATTCTAATTTCAACCAATATCTAATATTTATAATATAAAGTTAAACAATCTTAGAACCGCTGAAATATCAGTCTCAAAACACTTCTACGACTAACACTACTCGCAGTACGTTTGCTTCAGCAACGTGTTGATTTCCATTTCGATGCCATGAGTTCAAGAACGCCTTCTTGCTACGAAAGTAATATCTCGAAATAAAGCACCAGTAACCAAGAGAGCATGTAATAACTCGCTTTCTTCCTACAATGTAGTATTCGTTTAAGCATCCCAGAAAAAGAAAAGCGAACAGATTGACTGAAATTTAAATGTTGCTGCATCTCACGTTCAGAATAAATATAATGATACTTCATCATGCCTTGCGGATATGTATGTGAACGATGACTCCTTTCTGCAGAACTACAATCCCATCTTTGTCATAGATCAACTTATATCACCTTTAATATAAAAGTTGCAAAAAAAGCTTATTTATGCACATGTAAGTTTTCAACCTTTGGAATAAATAACTGCAAATACAGATATGTTTAATTATACACCGATAGAGTTAAGTCAGGTACAGTTAACAATTGTGTACAATTCAATTTAACAAACGCAACTGTACCCAGTATTCCACGTTAAAGCATAAATCAAAACTGAAACAGCGTGAAACTACTAAGGATAACTGCATTAGGCAGGCCAACCTGTGCGTATTGTTTACTCATATTTGTCGATATGCGCCCTTGACGGGTCACCGGTCTATCAGTTATTGCGTTTCATATTGATGATGTGAATACCACCATGAGAGATTCAAGTAGGAGATTACGTGCTGTTGTGACAAAAAGTCTGCATATACAAATATGGCATTTCTGTCTGCACTGCGGAAGTCAGCGCCGTAAAGCTGTAGAAAAAAGTGAAATGGCTGAATTCATGAACGTGTAATGAGTAATAAAGTTACTGAAGACTGAACTGTCGCAACTTTTTCTCTGCCCTTGATTTTACACCATTACAAATATTACAAAATTATCATAACCAAATATTTAAACGATCAATCGATCGCTACGGCACTGAAATAAAGCTAGATTCAAGGACTCTTGCACTGCTAACGTCATTCATAAGTCCGCCTGTCATCTGAAAGAATTTCTTCTACAGAACTTAAGCAACACATGGCATTTTATGTAGCGTACGTAATGCAAATATATGACGGGAAAATACAAATAAATGTCAACGAAAAATCGAAAAATTATCCTCTTTTGCTGGCCTGCATTCGCTTAATCACTTCCGCCTTTATATTTTCAATTATGTCAGAAGTGTGGAAGGTGCCGCCAATGTCTGGAGTCTGAATCATATCGTCAAACATCACTTTGTAAAGAGATTTCTGCAGCAGTTCAGCGTAATCATCCAATCTAAAGTTCATCAATTAAGTTGACATGAAAGAAAAGAAAAACAAGTCAACCGACAAAGTTACGACAATGGCAAAATGAACTACGCATAGCAATCTCAAAAAATGATCTGAGAAATAAAAACATCTGAATTAATGGACAATACGAAAAGCGCATTTGTTGAAAGGGCACGACACCTACGCAGTAACGATTACTTTTGTAATGCATTGCCTTCTGTCAGGTTAAATACAAATCTGAAATAAGACCATAGAGTTGATGAATGTGCCCGCTTCAATAAGTTGAGATGATGTTGCCAGCCACTCGTCAGTGAAATCTTTCCGTAACCAATATTTCACAAAGTGTTTCACTTCTTTAAATCCAGTGAAACTGATGAAGGTTTGGAGACTTCGGCAGTAATTAACGAAAATTGGGACACCGCATTTTCCTAGATTCACACTGTAGGACGACGTGATCAGATATCAGCAAACACCTAGGGTAGATGGCCAGACACCGTTTACTCACTGCATCTGCAGACACTCAAACATGGTCACAGCGAGTCGTCTATCTGTCCAAATCTAAAGGCCCTTTTCACGGTTAACGTAGAACTTGCCTTGATTATGTAAGAAGCTAAATATTCTCTTCTTGAATTGTCAGTCCTTGAAAGGTGAAAACAAGCAAGCTGACGTTACCAAAACCTCGAACAGTCCAAACGTACCGATCACAAGCATCCGCGCCGATCCAAAAAACGCAATTAAAGAAATATGAAATTACAAAAAATGTACTATTCTGATGGCCAGGCAATTTTTTGATGATTCAGATCGAAGGTACATGTGGTTACGGAGTCGCAATACGCTCAAACTACGAAGCAGTTTTAGAAAACCGGGGGCCAATCAGTCCAAGATCATGTTTGATAAAGATCTCGAAATCGTTAAAAACCACACGGATATTCAAAACCACTGCCCGTGCGCGAACGCTTTCCATGACAGAACTGAACAATTATTTGGCGCCATACCTTCGAAAGAACTTGTAATGCTTGAAATAAACATCAGTGCTCAATTCGGTAAAGGCGACACGAGTGTCACACTGGGGAAGTGATTCCTGCCTAAGGAAACTACCACAGAAAATGAATCGATGCTCCTCAACAGAGGCGAAAGATTCAGCCTGGCTAATGCGACGATCCTGAAGCAAAATCGACTTTCGCAAAGACTAACATGACAAGGTCCACAGCGCTTGACCACTGAGCAGCGAAAAGAACATGGGTGAAAGAAGATACAATTACGGTTAGATTACATACTCATAAGTGACTGTTGGAAGCACATAGTAAGATTGTTCAATAGCATCAGGAGATGCATCTGTCTGCCCGATGGTGTCCCGGATTGTCTTAACGATGGTGCCGTGTGTTACTCTACCAGAAGCTTGGAGACGATACCAAAGCTTAACATGGCATCGTTACCGCAAAATCCAGATGTCAGGAGAAAATTCTCAATGGTGTTCGATGAGACACTGGAAAGGCGCCAATCATATACTGTGATTTCAGCAACTGTCTACTGGCTGCCTTTAGCGGAAGTATTACAGTACCCTAGAGAGAATGCACCTGTCAATCTGTGGGAGCAAGAACTGCGAAGCTGACGAAGGAACGAAAAAGAACCAGATTTTCAGGAAATAAGACATTAGCGAAAGTGAAATAAACTAAACTGAAATGCCATCTGACTGAAAAAGAGAGCGCACTGTGGCCAAAACGAGCTTCTGCTATGGA